ATCCCTGCTAGCCAAACGCGAACAGCTCAGCGCCAATTCCCCCCCCCTCTACCCCCGCAGCTAACTGTGGGGAGGATTTCTTTTCAGCCACAGGCAAAGAGCCCAGTAGGAACGGCCACCTCTGAATGTCCCCTTAATTAAATTCCCCTATTTCAACCAGGTTACCATGAACGATAGCACTCTCTCAAGGATAACACAGAGAGATAAAGAACAGATGTTGTTTGAATGCCAGCAAACACTGGGACCATACGCTGCCAGGCTTTGTCATGCAATGATACCAGATTACTTGCTACTAGCATGGCATGGTAAAGTGTCCTACCATGGAGGACGGAATAAGGCTACTCTCCCCAGAAACCTTCCGCAAAGGCTTTTAGAGTACCTCCAGGAGAGCTTCATGGAGATGTCCCTGGAGGATTTCCGCTCCATCCCCAGACACGTTAACAGACTTTTCCAGTAGCTGTACTGGCCACGAATGCATCCCAAGTCCTCAGGGCTACTTAATCATTAAAAAACGCTTTCTTTTATAACATGTATTATATTTAAAAAGGTACACTCACCAGAGGTCCCTTCTCCGGCTTCGTTGAGTTGGGAGGGTATTTCAGTCAGGGTGATAAAAAGATCCTGGCTGTCGGGGAGAATGGTGTGCTGTGTGCTCTCCCCAAGCTCGTAGTCCTCCTCTTCATCTTCCCATCTGCAAAATCCTCAGGCATAGCAGAGAGTACCCATCACCGGAGTCCATGGACAGGGGTGGGGTAGTAGTGGCAGCACCCCCTAGAATTGCATACAGCTCAGCGTAGAAGCGGCATGTCTGGGGCTCTGTCCCGGAGCATCCGTTTGATTCTTTGGTTTTCTGGCATGCTTGTCTGAGCTCCTGAAGTTTCACGTGGCACTGTGTTGCGCCCCTTCTGTAGCCTCTGTCCCTCATGGCCACAGAGATTTTTTTGAAATGTTTTGGCATTTCATCTTTTGGAACATAGTTCTGATAGCATGGTCCTCTCCCCATACAGCGATCAGACCCAGTACCTCCTGTTCGGTCCATGCTGGAGCTCTTTTTTTCTATTCTGGGACTGCATGGTCACCTGTGCTGATAAGCTCGCCTGGCCAAACAGGAAATGAGATTCAAAAGTTCCCGGGGCTTTTCCTATACACCTGGCCAGTGCATCCAAGTTCATTAGAGTGCTGTGCAGAGCGGTCACAATGGTGCACTGTGGGATAGCTCCCAGAGCCCAATACCTTCGAATTGCATCCACACTAACACTGATTCGAAACGGCGATGTCGATTTCAGCACTAATCCCCTTGTTGGGGAGGAGTACAGAAATCAGTTTTAAGAACCCTTTATGTCGAAAAAAATGGCTTCGTTGTGTGGACGGGTGCAGGGTTAATTCAATGTAACGCTGCTAAATCTGACATAAACTCGTAGTGTAGACCAGACCATAGGGGTGTGGAATATTTTTAAACCAAAATAATTATATTGGTACAACCCATAGTGTGGATGCAGCTATACCAGTGTAAAGGTGCCTTTACACCAGTATAGCTTATTTCCTTTCACGTGGTATGGAAATAAACTATACCAGTATAAGCACTTTCATACCAATATAATTGCATCTAAACAAGGAGAGTTGTATCACTTTAATCGTACCAGCACACAATATAACTTTTGTGCATAGACAAGATCTTAGGTTACAAACTTATAAACAAGCATGTGAGTAACTTAACATGGGGGGGGATCTCTACTGAATTTATGAATAAATCCTTGGTGCACAAAGCAATATACCTGCATATTTGCAGAGTTGGGACCTCAGACTATCAACTCCTTAAGGCAAGGTATGCGTTTGTCGTTGCTGTAAAGTGCCATAAACTCCTTATGTATATGACAATAATACCTAGCTCCTATGCAGAAATATGTATGGGTTAGAGAAACAAAATATTATTTTTTTTAAAACCACACACATTGGGGATGTCTGCTGATACTGCCAAATAAAATAAAAAGCAGGCTGAGTAAGGTTTGCTTAAGTCCCCAAGAGAACATAAGGGTATCTAATGGGGAAAATCTGAAGTTCCGTGCTAGCTAAGAATAGGTCCCATATTAAAAACACAAATGCAGATACAAATATCCTAAATTTCTTTATAGATTTAGACAAACCGCATGCCAAATGATGGTGTTAAGAAAGCCCTGGGCTTCATTTAATTTATTTATTTATTTGAGACCCTGAGTTGGATTTATCCTGGCTTAATATTAGCGTATAATTGAGTAATATGGCTTCGATCCTCCCAAGTGCTCAGTTCTGCTGTGAGATGCTCAAGTACTTTCAATGCCAACTTACTTCACCACTGTGCAGGATTGAGCCCTAGATCAGTATGATTTTTCAGTTCTTCTGATTAGGAAATTCTTAACTGAACAGTCAATCCTGTTTTTTTTTTTAAATATTAGATCTCTAAGTGGCTTTCCAACATTTAAAAAATGGCATTAGTAAATGAATTGCGTAGCATTCATCAAACGGCACTGCAAGGTCTCTCTGTATTAACTTGTTTTTGGGTGGGAAGGAAAACACTGAAAATGATCTAAAGCATTTGGTTTAAAGAAATGGCTTGGACATCAGTACAAGTCACCAACTAAATTCAATAGCGCATTTTTTTATTTTATGCATTACAAATTTCAAAAATAGTTCTGACAAATATGAGTCAACAAGATGCTAAACGCAGGGACTCCCATCACTGTTGGCAGTTTCTTCTGAAGCGATCTTATGGGAAAGAGGGAAATAAGTATGATCAGTGCTTTGCGTTGATTAAACAGTTCTTTCAACTTTGCCCAGAAAGAAGGGCATAGCTTGTGACTTGAAAGTTATTGAGCTTGCTAGCATTAAGGGGTTTTTATTTATATTTTTGAAATTGCATTTTTATTTCCAGTTGAGAGATTCTCAATGTACATTATCTTGCAAAGTTGTAAACTATGCCAGAGAATGGTCCTCGATTCACTTCCAAACTTAATTGTTGATAAAATTGTGAAAAACACATTCAGATGTCCAAAACCTCTTGCAAAAAAAAAAAAGACTCATTCTACTGGGACACATCAGAGCAGTATAACAAACTTGTAGCTTTTTGTGGATATAGCCCTAAACAGTTACTTGATTTAAGATTTCACAGTAAATGCAGTGGTTCATTTAAAAAAATAATAACTTTAATACATTTATTCAGCATAAAAGTGTATTGAAAAATGTAACATTTAAAACTGTTTTGATATTTCAAAGTAGATCTTGGCTGAAAGTCTTTTAAAGATGCAAACAACTAATTTCTTGGATTTTATGCTAGATTAATGAACATCCACCATTTATCTTAATCTGTTGAATAAAAGGCTAAATTTGACTTTGAATTTTGAAATAGTAAATATAAGCATGATCAGATCTGACCTTTTTAGTTTATATATGACAAACCAAATTAATATAATTAATTATTTGAGTTCTCCACATACAAAAGGGGCAGACCAAAAGAATCCCTCTGGAACACCACTGAGAGAGAGAGAGAGAGAGAATTTATGGGACTTTCAAAGAACGACCCAGGATACACAGGGATGGCAGAGCCTTGTACATGCCCAAAGCAACATTTGATGGCACAGGAAAGATTTAGATTCAAGTGCTTAGAAGCAATTAAGAAACAGAACTCAGGCCAAATTTTTTGAATCACTCACAGATCCCATTGATTGCTGGATCCCCAAACCTCTGAAAAATCTGAAAATTACTTGTTTAGATAATTAACTTTAGAAACCAACATTTGAAAACTTTGTCCTCTCTTTACACTAGTGTAGTAAAACAAACTATAAAACCTAGACTATTTAGCCTACCACGCTTAGGGGAAAATGTACTAGTTGTAAAGATGGGCAAGGAATTTTTGAATATTAAAGCAATAGGGGGGTGAATGGGTTGCAGAAAAACTTTGAGCCACCTTTGTAGCTGGAACACTTCTTTAGCACCTTAAAAATTAAACTCACACCCTAGAGATCTTTGTTATTCAACAAGGAAAAGCAAACAATTGTCAGTACAGTTCAATTCTAACTGCCAACTAGACAACACAGTTAAGATCAACAATTGAGCAAAAGTGATGAAGAGGTGCCATTTTGGGGACTTGGGGAGTAATTCTGGGATACTATTTCAGGCTTTACCAACTGCAACAGATCAACTCTTCAACAGATTAATAGACAGCATCTTCACTGAGTACCTTAAAACTCCCCAAGCATGTAAACTCCCTCACATTTGTCAGCAGAGTAACTATGTATGGCCAAATGCCAGGGGAAAAAAATACCACACTGACTAGATCTTTGTTTGCGACTTAATCTGATTTATCAAAACTTTTTTATAGATTTTTCAGACAACAATTTTAATCTACATCTGTTTAGAAGTCAGGATTTAAAGAAAATCAGGTCTTCCGCGCGGGGATTCTTAGACATGATGTAGATGAGATGTAATCTCCTGCAGTTCAGTCCAGGCTGCTTCTCCGCAGCCCGAGGAATTAGAAAACATAATCATGTCTAAAGGAAAGGAGGACTTGTGGCACCTTAGAGACTAATAAATTGGTTAGTCTCTAAGGTGCCACAAGTCCTCCTTTTCTTTTTTGCGAATACAGGCTAACATGGCTGCTACTCTAAACAATAATCATGTCTGAAAGTTACATGCAGGTTTCTCAGTTATGGGTAGGAACAAGGCTAAAGACAGGGTGAGTGAAAAAGTAATTCTGATCGGAACATGCCCATCGCCTAATGAGCTCATCCCCACCAGCAAGGAACCCTGCATCATTTAATTTCTTGCTACCAGTACGTTGCAGAGGGGCAGAGCTGGAGGGAGCCTGACGACCCCTAGCAAGACGGAGTTAGCTTCCCTAGTCCTCAACGTAGAAAGGCTGCTGCTCCTGGCCGTTGTAATCCCCCCGCGCACTCACAGTCCCGGGATTTCGACTCAGCCCAGCCGGGCAGGCGGGAGGGAGGTCGGTCTATGCAAACGCTACTTACTTTCCGCGGTGCTGGGGGCTGTCCAGCTCCCGCTCCGCCCAGCCGGAGCCACACGGGGGAAGTGGGAGCCGGCCCCGGGCAGCCTTCAGCCGGCGCCCCGAAGCCCGCCCCGCGTGGCGCGGCCACCGGCGCGAGGAGGGTCCCCGCCAACTTTGCCGGCTGGTGAGTCTCCGTCTCCCGCCCCGCTCCCTGCGGGCCGGGGGCTCGGCGCTGCCGGCTCGGGAAGCGCCGCTCCGCAACCACCCCGCCCCCGCCAGGCCAGCGCTCAAAAAGGGCGAGCGGCTCAGCCCACCCACGACCCCCGGCCAGGCTCCTCCCCGCTCTCGGCCCATTGCGGGGGCGGGGTCCCAGCGCTAGCGGCTCTGCTGCCCCTTCGCCGCCTCCCCGCGCGCACCTTCCCTGGGGCGCCTCTGCCCGCCCCGGCGGCGGGAGCTTTGAGGGGGGGAGCGGTGGCCGGGGCCAGCGCAGGGCGCCCCAGGCGCCTGGCCGGGGGGCCCTAGGAGCCTTGCAGAGAAAGCTGCAAACGCAGCCCCGCCCCCAAAAGCCCCCGGGGTAGCAGCTGCTGCTGGAAGAGACGCGGCTGCCAGGGCTCAAGCTGTGGCCGCGGCCTCGGGCACTGACATGCAGCCCAGCTCCACGTGCCCAAGGAGAGATGACAGACGCGCGCATTTGTGTGCCTGGAGTGGGGGCTGCTTATCCTGTTTTGCGTTCGGCTTCTGGGTGCACATCCTGGGGGAGGGGGGGTACTTCTAAGAGACACTTCTCCCTCACCCCCACCGCCCTTAATGCAACAGCTTGGGGAGCTCCGCATCTCAGTGCCCTGGCTCCTTCCCTTTCCTAAGAGCTGGAGGAGGCTGCAGGTTTATGCTCTTGCTAGGGTTGCCAACCCTCCAGAATTGTCCTGGAGTCAGGGATTCAAGATTAATCTTTAATTAAAGATTATCTGGAGATAAAACGTCCAGGAACACATCCAGCCAAAGCTGGCAAACCTACTTGTTGCCCCTGCGCATTAAAAACCAGCGGGGGCAGAAGGCGGACTGGACACTGTGTTCCTAAAACACTGTCTGAAATCACTGGCACTTTCTGCCCCGTGTTGCTCCCTTAATGAGAAGCGTTCCGGCAATTCCTGTCCTCCCACTTCAACCCCCAGCGTGGGCTCTGTGTGCCTCTTCGGAAACGATCGAATGGGGAAAGAGACTGTTTTGTCTCTCAAACTCCCGCACCGTTTAAATAATAACAAGCAGCCTTCCCGTTTAGGAGAAGACGCTTTGCCAGAGCAAAATACAAGGAATTAGGGAAAATTCGTCTCTGAAGGGAGAAGCAATCATTTGCTAGTTGAAAGGCCATTTTGGAAAACAAAACAGAAGTGAGATCACGAGATTATCCAGCAATCTGAATGACCTGGGCTGTGGATAATCCACAATTCAGGCTTTCAGCACAGATCCTCCCAGTATCTGCTGTACGGCATGCTGATGTTCCCACCCGCTCCGTGTGTATACAGTCACTTTTGAGTTGTGTTGCTGTGTAGTGTTGTGTCACGTGATTTACTGAGTTACACACTGGAGGTAGCCAGCTGAGTACAGTGATAATGTGAAGCTAGTTACACATAGATCGTTCTTTCAAGAAAGAAAACACAACCTGCAGCGACTGAGGAACCCAGCTCCTGAATATTTAACGTGGCAGAGTTGCAGAGAAGGCAGTATCCTTCAAAGAGTAATACAATTTGATCAAAGTGTGTGTGATAACAAATGTAGGTCTTTACATCTTTATAGCTAGATGATAAACTGGGTTTCCAATATTTCTTTCTAATCCCTTATGTCTCTCTACTAGGATTGCAAAAGTTAACTCTAGGGTCTTGGACTTCATCAATTTAGGGCAGCAGGTGAAGGGGCTTTCCCTCAGGGCTAATAAGCCCCTTCTCCTTCTCTTTTGTCGCTGTGTGAAAGACCCACTGACAAGGGGGGAATTGATTAATTGTCTACACTGGGGAAACAGTAATATTGACTAGAGGCAAATTAAACTATAACTGGAGCAGGGGGACTGGACTCTAGGACTTCCCTCCTAGCCACCAGGTGGCCCAATGACTATCTAGGTTTTTATCCACAGTGGAAGACATTTCACCAGATGAGACTTAGGGAGCCACACATCAGAATATCCCATAACTCAGCGCTTAGGGCAGAATCCTGATGATTTGTGAGATGGTCTCCCACTTCTTTCTTCTCCTCTGGTGGGGGGCAGGGGAAATAAATACAAGTTTCCCACATCCCAGGGGAGCGCTCTCACAACTGGGCCACAGGTTATAAAGTGGGCACCACCCCCACCACCTCCTCCTCCTGCCGCCACTGCTGTTTTGTGTGGATTAGAAGCTTGCCTAAGTCATTCTCACAAGAAACACTTTATGTTCCTGAGCCACCTGACTCCTGTAGAGGGGTTCCTAGTTCATGAATTCCAAGCAGAGGCAGGCAGGTCCCTACAGCCCAGACTCTACAGGTACCTCTCTCTGTTAGAGGAATGGGATCTAGCACACACCTATCTGGTCCGCATTTCTCATAGGCTAGCTTAGGTGGCTCTCTCCCTAGCATGCTGTCTTTTGTGAATTTCATTCTAAAGCCCATCTCTCTCCCCCATCGTCATACAGGGATCTCAAGCACACAACTCAGGCTTTGTGAAACTCAGTGTTATTGCTGTGATTTTCTAAGCACTTATAAATTAAGCATTGTGATGCTCAGCGTCAGTAAGCCTAAATCCCTTTGTGAATCTTGCCCTCAGAGACTTATTTTGCATGCAGTTATCTGTTTGCAGATTTATCCACATTTGCCAGGTGCAGCTTTGTCTATTTTTGCACTTTCATGACTTGGGGTAAAGTAGGCAATTCTAGGCTTAGGTTTATTCTGTGCTGAAGTATATATTGTCCAAAAAAGATCAAAACATACAAAAATACAAATTTAAAATTCAAAAACTTATACCATCAATAATTCCTTCTAATAGGGGGGAAAAGACTCTGGGGAGTGCATCTGTAGACAAAATCCTTACAGAGAAAATTATTCTGGGGCTATACCTTTCTTAACACGACCCCTTCTAGCTCCGTTTCTTCCTGAGCTTCTAACATGAGGCTTTTTAAAACTGTAAGTGGAGGTAAAAGCCTGCAGTTGAACATCCTCCTCCTACTCCACCTCAGTTAGGTAGAACAAGATCCTTTATAAAACTGGACTCAGGCAGTTCTCCACTTCCTCTGGCTGATAGATGGCTAGTCCGATGCATGTAACAGGTCAGAAAGAGAGGTTATTTCAGAGATTCAAGCAGAAACAATTGAGATAAGCTTGGTTTTTGTATTTGTTTGTTTTTAAACTGTGTAACACAATGGGGCCTTGATCTATGACTGTCATCCTGATAATACAGACAATAAATAATGGAAAAGAGTCCTGTGGCACCTTATAGACTAACAGATGTATTGGAGCATAAGCTTTCACAGGTGAATACCCACTTCGTCGGATGCATGTCACATGCATCCGACGGAGTGGGTATTCACCCGTGAAAGCTTATGCTCCAATACGTCTGTTAGTCTATAAGGTGCCACAGGACTCTTTGCTGCTTTTACAGATCCAGACTAACACGGCTACCCCTCTGATACTTGACAATAAATAATGTTTCTCTGAAATAGTTTTGAAACAAAGCTACTTCAGGCAATAAGCCGGAGAAAACCTAACACAGGCCTGCCAGTCCTGTGAGCAAAGAGACAATATCCCACTTCCACTAATTGCTGGTTGGAAGTCCCCTTGCAGGTAAGTTAAAAAGAACTGGATGGCCCCTACAAGTTTTCAGCTGTTCAAGGCCCCCTTTCCATGTGAGTCCGAATGGATCCGCTATGTGGAGGGCCACCCAAAATGGGGGAAAAATTGAATGGCCATTTTTTCAATGTAAGTCCTAAGGAATGTGCCTCCACCCCCATCAGCTTGGTGTAGCAGTGTGCAAGTAGATACACAGTTACCAAACTGACATATACTAATGCCCTTTCATGTGCACGAAAGTGATCTTTTGCAGGCATTAAAGAAACCTTATTGTCAGATGAAACCAGGTCAGGTCAGTCTCTTATCTAAACTTTGAAAATTCAGTCCTAAATATCAAGTCTCCAAGCCACAGGAAACATAGGAGTAAGTTGTCAAAGGAGGGTACACTTTCAGATAACCTATACCAACAATAAGCAGGTTGCTAAACAATTTACAGGCCCCCTTGCCACCATGAGATTCCATTGGTTTCTCAGATCAGAAGCCCCTGTAGTGGCAGATCTGTGATAGTGGAGAAGAGGCAGGCAATAAAATGCAAGATGATCTCTGTTTGGGTTTTGGTGTGTGTTGCTGAGGTTCTGGGTGGAATGCCTGGGAAAACAGTGTTGTGACCTGTGATTTGGACCATATCCTTCTCGGCTTGCAAAATCTTGTGAAAAGATAGTGGGTGTATTGCTGCTGGAAATTGTCAAAGTCTGCTAAGGTGCCAACATCACTCAAGTAGGTGGTTGACAAACACCTATTAAAAATCCATGTTGTCAATTGGTTGGTCTCTAATGTTGCTTTTGGTGGAAGGACAGTGAGAATAGGGGGAAACCTTTCCCTTGTGCCTGTGCACAGCTACCAAGAGATCCGTAAACAAACACTGGACTCATGTGTAAGTCTTGAGCTTCTTATTTAAAAGGTTCTTTGTATATTTTAATTCAAACAGAAGTATCTTAGAAAAGTCACAGCAGTTTATAATCTATATGTGCAAATCCAAATAGCTGATTTGAAGAATACTTATTTACAGCACACGACAGGTACATTGGCTTGGAATACATGTTTAAACACAATTTGGATGGCACAGAAAGCCTATTTTGTGACTTTTGGAGAGAGAATAGTTGACTTGAACCCAAGATGAAACTGCTCATAATCCTCTTGATGTGCACAAAGCATATGATTATAAACCTCAAAAGGCTGCTATAACAGCTAGGATTAAATATTGATACAATTAATAGAAGTTTTGGAATATAAAATAATACTTTGAGATCTTCAGATGGTGAGTGCTATAGAAATGACAAGAGCTTTGCAAACATGGATTAAGTATCCCAGTAGTGCTGTGTAAAGCTGCGTGAATAATTGGATTTTTCAGTTCAGTTCTGAAAAATTGAAAAACTATTTATTTCAAGGAAAGCCTTGAGTGAATTTTTTTTTAATTGGCAAATCAAAAAGTGGGGAGGGGAGATA